TTAGTTTGTACTTATTTTATTTCAATTTATGCTGCTAAATTGCACGGTGTGTATTGTTGTATATTGTATATACCTACGTTTAACTGCAATTTTTGTTGCATTTTGTCACATTTAGTTACTTGTTTTTTTTTCTACTTATGTTACTGTAAGTTCTTGCATTTTGTTGCATTTAGTTAATTGTTAGAATTTTTTTTGTTAGCCTTCTATTTTATTTATTTATTTTATTTTACTTTATTGTTATGTTTATGTTTTTTATTTTTATGTAGTTTTAATGTTAGCTATTTAACCCATGTATTAAGCTTTTGCGGCCACCCCTGCTGTATTGGCCAACATGTTGCACAGTAAATATTTCCCTCGGGATAAATACAAGCTTCTTGAATCTTGAATCTTGAATTAATACAGTATTTCTCTGCTCAGAATTGTGGTATAGGTCAAACTGATATAAAAACTGAAAATATTATTCAGAGAGCAATAAACAAACCTGTTAAAAAATGTACTTCTTAAAGTTCAAACTTTCAAAGTTGATTTAGTTTATAGATGCTTCCTCTCAGAAACTAAGGAAATGCAATGTCCCTCTTCTCCCACATGGTGGTGCTGGTGTGAAATATGTGTCCCATGGAACTTTGATTAGAGTCCTGTGATGTGTCGACATCAGTGCTGAAACAATATGCAGCATTATTTCATTGCAGCCAATTGACCATCGTCAGTGAACGTATACTGCAAATAAAATCACAAATTATTTCTTGATATGTAAAATTCTGTTTTTCAAATTTTCCTTTTTGAAAAACATTTAGAGAAATTAAGTAATCCTGTACTCTACACTAGTGCAGAGTCTGAAATATTACACAGAATAATGAAGACAGTTGGAGAACAATTACATATAAAATAGGATGTATGCTTTACAAGGTCATTGTTTTTCTGGGTAACTATCATGTTTTCCCCAAATGATTTAATTTAGGAATTATATTATTGTATTCAACTTGTATGAAAATTGGTGCGTATAACTGCCATAAATGGGGGAAAAAATCTCCCCAGCCGCTACGGTTTGGTCTAAAACCTGAATGTTTATATATTATAATTTAAAACTAAAGCTAACACTGAAACTAGTAAAAACCTGAAATGAGCAAACTAACTGAAACTAAAATGAAACACACACAAACAACACACATTCAGTGTGTCCACATCATTAACCAACTAAAAGCGTACACTTGTGTAGCGACTTAGAGTTTTTGTAGGACAAAAAAGATAAAGTAGAAAAGAAAAACAAATAATGACATAAAGCAAAAGCAATATTTATAACAGGCCTTCAGACTCCAAAAAAGTAGTTTGACCCAGTTTATAGACAGTCCATGTGTAAAATATTGGTAAGTTAGGAGCAATGATTTCAGGGCCCTCAGCAGAATATACTAAACTGATCATGTATTATTACATGAGTCTATTTATATCTTTATATTTTAATCTTTTTTTGTATTGTATACTTTAATTGTATACTTTTTCATTGGGTATTTTAACACTTTTATCTTAGAATCTAAATAATAATATTAAGAAAGATATATAAGACTACATATGATATGTATGTATGCATAGACACATATAGTTATGTTTATCATTGTTTTACTTTTTATCTCACTCACCACAATTCTGGGCCGTTCACCCAACAAGCACTTTTTTTTATTAAATGTAAGGTATTGAATTTGAATTTGAAAATGTGAAATGTTAGTATGAAAATATCAAAACTTTAGAGCAAAATGAACTCATCAAGGCCAAACTCTCTCTCTCTCTCTCTCTCTCTTTGTGTGTCTGTGAAGCTCTCTCGCTCTCGCTCTTTCTCTGCATTCTTAATGAGAGTGTGTATTGTTGTATTGTCGTGTAAAATTAGCAAATGAATAAACGTCACTTACTGACACTCAGTTCCCAGGCATTCTTTCACACGCTCTGTGTGTGTTTGTGTGTGTGTGTGTGTGTGTGTGTGCGCCCCGGTTGTTGTTGTACAGAGACATTTTGTCAGGAAAAACGTGTGTGGGAAAATGAAAAAACAAAGTATTAGCTGCCACTGAGCTACTGAGCAAGGCACTGAAGTCAAATTTAAACTTTAAATGTAACGCTTGAAAAGTTATTCTGTTGAAAAGTTCTGTTAAATGAGCAAATGATACGCTGCAGTCTCCTTGCAGAGTACCAAATGTTGACAGAGGAGGTGAAGATGGCGGTGTAGAAGTTGTTGTCTTTGGCAGGTTATTTTGTCAGCTGCAGTAGGAAGTACATCCTCCACCGACTTGGTGGTGGTGGTGATGGTGCCCAGGAAGTGGAAGGACTCCACTGGGGAATTTGACATAGAGGCCAAATGACAGCATTGCAATGGTGTCTGTAACAACAGACTTTTCCCATAAGCTTACTCTGTCGTTTCACTATCAGAATTTGCAGCATAATAAGGGGCAGATCTGGAGAAATATTCATGGGATGGCAAGAGGGAGGGGTGGAGACTTTAAGGAGTTACAGAAATACATGCTGACTTAATCGCACTCAGTCACAAATATCAATATTTGCTTGGAAAAAAATCCCCCAAAATGAAGATCTCATGAACTCAAAAATATTGCATTATGGTGGCACATTAGTACAGCACTAAATAAATCACCATCAGATATAGCTACTCTAGATGGCAATGGCATTACCTGGCCTCTAGCACCACTGTCAGGAACTTGGCGGTTATCTGTTGATCAGGATTTGTCATTTAATTCCCACATAAGCAGATCTCTAGGACTGCTTCTTTCATTTACGTGATATTACAAAAAAATAGACACATCTTATCACAGACAGATTGCAGAAAAAACTAAATCCATGCATCTTCGTTACTTCAAGGCTGATTACTGCAACTCTTTGTTATCAGGTTGCCCTAATAAATCCATTAAGACGCTTCCAATTAATACAAACGGCTGCCGCCACGATACTGACAGGCGAACTAGGAAAAGAGATCAGCATCTCTCCTTTATAGCCTTTCCTTGCATTGCCTCCCTGTATAAAAACTTTAGAATAGAATTTAAAGTCTTCTCCTTCAACCTAATAAGCTCTTCATGGTCAGGGGCCCCCTTCATTATCCTAAAGAGCTCATAGTACCCCTATTTTACCTCTAAACACTGCCCGTTCTTCTGAATGGCAGGGTTACTTGTGGTTCCTATAGTCTCTAAAACTTAGAAACAGGAGCAGAGCCCTTCAGTTACCAAGGGCTGCCCTTCCCTTCGTGCGAACCAGGCTTCAGCGTGGTCGCCGGGGAGGCCAGACACCCTCTCCACATTTGAAGCAGTAGGCTTAAGACGTTCCTCTTTGATAAGAAGCTTAGTAGTTAGCTGGATCAGCGTGAGTCACGAAGCATCCCTTAGGTATGCTGCTATAGGCCTAGCACTTATTTGGGGGATTTCCCATGTGCACCGTAGCTCCTCTCTTCCTCTCTCTCTCTTTCTGCACTCATTTCATGTCTCATCTAATGCATGTTACTAACTTCACTTCTTCCCCGGAGTTCTTCTGTGCTTATCGTCTCGCCAGCGTTCTTATCGGATCCTCGGTGGAGCCTCCTGCCAATGCGTCTCTGCCTTGACTGCCATTGCTAAAATCACTTATATTATTGTCGTTATTATTATTAGTTATTATTAAGTATATTGTTTCTTACAGCGTTACTGTTGCTTACTGTTGTTGCCTGCTCGCTGATCCCCCATCGTTGCTGCCTGTCGTTCGTTCATCGCTCTTCTTCATGTGTCATCATTGGTGAGCTACGTATTAATGTAGGTGTTGCTACTGTTGTTGCTGTACATCTGTCTATCTCTGTCTCTCTCTGTTTCTCTCTCTTCTTCTCCTCTCTCTCTCTCTCTCTGCTCTCTCTCTCTCTTTCTCTCTCTCTCGTCTCTCCTCTCGTCTTCCCCCCAACTGGCTCAAGGCAGAATGAACCACCCACGGGGTCTGTTCCGTAGTTTTCTTGGCAAAGTATTTTTTAGCTGGCCACCCCCCTAGAATCCACCCTGCCGCATGGTTAAGAACATTTCATTCCCATTCCAAGGTAAGAAGGGGGTTAAACTGCGAAGGTCTTAATGGCGCCAGGCTGGCCATGAGAAAGATGGTTTCCGGGTATTATTGTTGTATGTATATTGTTTTGTTCTATATATTTATTCTCTTTATACCATTTTATATTATCTATTATAAATCACAGAATATGTTTCTATATGTGATATTTCTCTCTTTGTTTATTTCTCCAATCTATATGGTTTTCAGCTTTTATTCCCCTCCTTCTTGTTATAGGTATTATGTTAAAACTCCTCCCCATTTAAATCTTATATCATATCTTTTATTCGCCTTATCTCTTTTAAGATTGCTAATTTATATATATGTTCCTGGTTTTTTATATTATCTTTTGTTTTTTTTTTATTACGATGATAGACGGTACGCAGACTGTTGCGTGAAGTCTCAGAGGTATGGGCAGACACGCGGTGAGGTCCAGGCTGGCACCTTCGCGCAGTCTGCTGTACGTGGTAATGTAGCATTGCTGACTGCACAAGCCCTTTCCGTACTTTTGGCCAAAACCTCACGCATAAATTATTTGACAATACACCGTGAGAACCATCAGGAATGTTGTGGGATTTTTTTCAGAAATAAATCACGTCATTGCATTGTTGTAGAGTTGTAAGACGAACATAAATACTTGAGTGCTGTGATGGTCATTGTTCAGCTTGTTGAGAAGGTGGTGTGGAACCATGTCGTCCCCAGTGGTGCAGTCGCTGAAAGTCAGCCGTTCTCTGCGGGGAGCCGAAAGGGGTTCCAGGATTTGAAATCCTGTCTGATGGCCAACTTTCCACTTGCCGAACAGGTGTGTTATAGGCGCATGTTGCATGGCCAGCGTTGGGTGTTTCAAGTCCCGTGATTGGATCAATTGAACAAAAGGAAACGAAGCATCAAGTTTGGGCTCGCGAGCGGTTAAGCACTCGGCTGCGTGGCAGCGGTTTTAGTGTGGTGATGCAGCCACAGTGTAGAACCGGCATCGTTTGGTAGAGTGGGGAAGCCGTTCCCAAGCGTCGATTGAAAATAGTTGTGTCCTTCAGTCTTTACGGTTGTTTGGATGTGTAATGTAGGGCCTGTGGGAGGGCGCAGATCATGACCTAAGTATCCACACCACCGTTCCACGCTAGGAGTGTAGGCAAGTAGCTAGCTTGAGAGCGTTATCGTTAACAAAAAACGAGGGACTTGCACCGACGCAGTTAAACAAGAAAGAATGGCGGGTACCTTGAATCAGTAGCGTAGAACAGGGTGACTGCAAGAGTAGATGATGGTTGAGCAGAGATGGGGATAAGTCATATGTGCCCAGGTATCCAGTGGACGATACAAGGTACAAGGGTGATGATGTCTGGGACTTGTCGCTTGTTTGACAGTCACCGAGAGTTGACCAATTTGGCACTTGGACTCTGCTGTCTATAGACTGTGCGAGTGTGTGAGAGTAGGGTGTCGGTCTTCTGTCGTATTCTATGCTCGTAGGAGCTGCGGTGACTGTAATCCAAGCGCGCCTCTCCGCCTCCACCCCTTGCGTGCTGTTGAGGCCACGGTGAAGATTCGTGCCATTCCAGTTAATACCTGTGCGATGCGTGTGACAGCGGATGGCTACGTGGGGACGCGCCCTCTGTCTTCAGGGACAGAGCACCAGGCGTGTCCCTAGTGATAGTACTACAGGCAAGACAAATAAGTCTTTACTATCTTTCTGTACGTAAGTGCTCGAGCGGTGATTGACATTAGGCTTTTCTCCCCTACAACAATCCAGGTGATTAGATAAAGACACTTAATAGGCTCAAAAATGTGAACAAGCAAACTGGGGATCCTGTCTCCAGGTTCAGCCCTGAGTGCTGGGGCCAGTATGGCAACCAGTCGCTGATGCTCACCAACCCCGCCCAGCAACCTCTCCACTGTTCAGCTGTCCTAGCTGCTGCTGTGTGGATGATGGTGGTGTGTGTGTAGGCGGGGGCGCATGGTGTGGGTCGGTGTGTGTGGTCGTGATGTAGAAGCTGTCTAGACGAATCATGAGTTAATTGATTGTATCTGGTTGGTTGTTTTCTTCCAGGAGCCGCGTGAGGACGGAGTAATACAAAATTGCGGATGGCAGTAGATCTTAGCCCTGTTGCCAGCTTCCCAGTAGTGCGTCAGTCACTGTTAGGCTTGTACTCCTGTTATCGGGGTACTCCTGTAGGGGTATCCTGGTTAGTAGTACTGGTTT